TTTACTAGTGCTGTGGTTTGAATATGGTTTACCACCCCACCCCTCATTAGCCCCCAAGCTCATGCAGAAATTTAATTGCCAAAGTCTTATGTTAATGGTATTAAATGGGTAGAAACTTAATCTGACTATAATATTTACAGATGTCATCTCTGGCAAGTGATAATCACTTAGCTCACTGGGGTGATGGTATTCTGGTAATGTTTGTATCCTAGTAGCTCTATAAGAAGAGAGAGACCATGTAGACTGAGATAAACACATACTTTTGCCATGATATGATGAAGCCACGAGGTTTGGACATCTAGCCTCAAAAATTTTGAGCTAAATACGTCTTTTTTCCCTTATAATTTGGCTTGCCTTGTGTACTTAATTTTAGTAATGGAAAGCTGGCTAATGCAGTTTCTTCTAGAGTTTCTGCCTAAGTTCATTGGCACATTTCCCAGGTCAGTAACCTACCATCACCACTGCCTAGACCCATTTTTGCCATCCCAGAGAAAATCCCAGGGAAACAAAGCAGTGTGATGCAAAAAAGCCAGCAGCTTGTACAAATGTTATCACAGATGTGTTAGACTTGTTTTGCTTTCATTTCTGTAGGTGATTGATGTGTTTGATCTTGGAAATATTTCACTTGGTGGCAGTGATTTGTCTTGGTTTCCAAGAGATTGCTTTTGTGTTCTCTTGCCCTCTCCCTATCACTAAGGAGAGAGGATACATAGTGGAGTCATTTCTGAGGAGGTAATTGGAGTAAGATTATGGATTTGGTTGACAGCAGGCTTCCTCCTTTTGTGTTAAATGGAGGATTTTCCCAGGCCTAGCTAACTGCCCGGGGGTCTACTTAGGACTTTTGTAGACCCTAAGAATGCAGATTTCTAAAGATCCYACCCCACACCTTATCAAATATATTTAAGTGCCCCCACATTCCACTTTAAATAATTTTTGTTTTGCTGTTAATTACTCTAAAGGGCTATTTTATTTTTGGCTTTTACAATTACTTGGCTACAATAAGCACCCAATTTATGATCGACTCTGGTTTCTTAAAATTCTGTGTATAATTGGAAATTGAAGAAGGTGAAAAAATGTAACCTATAAAATTGTTTACAAATGCCATGAATATTTTATGAATATTACATTTAACAATCAATAAAGTATGAAGATGTTGCTTAAATATTTATTCACTTCAATTTCATGGTTTTCTCTTGGTATCTTGGAACCAATACATATATTTTTAGGTTTAACATATTCCTTTCCTCTTAAAAAATCTGTGGGTCCTACCCACGTCTGTAGTGTCTCACAGGTAGCATGCTGCAGATTCCCATAGCTCCTCCAGAATCTGGCTTTGAGTTCTTGAGAAGTTTGTTCCTGCTTTAGGTAGCCTTGGATCTTCCCAGTGGGGGCACTTCTGACCATTCTGATTGAAGTGTCCCCTTATCCAGGAAGGTTTTTCTTGGTCACTCATTGGAAAACAGCCATCCAGTCATGTTCCCTCACTTCTCATTATAGCACTTATAACTAGTCAATATTATTCTTAAATAAATATCCAGAATCTATTAAATAGATTTATTCTAAATCTCCTGATTTACTGATTTTCCAGTCTACCAATCTGGACCAATTGATTGTTTACCTCCATTGGGATGAAATATCATAGATCTTATCAAATTTGTTGACCAGGGCTAAGGGTGTGGTTCAGTGGTAGAGCGCTTGCCTGGCATGTGTGAGGCATTAGGTTTGATTTTCAGCACCACATATAAATAAGTAAATAAATAAAATTAAGGTCCATTGACCAATATAAGAAAATATTTTTAAAAAATTATTTTTAAACAACATATCCCTCTACTATCTAACATACTGCCTGGCACATAATAGGTGCTCAATAATTTTTGTAGAATGAATAAAATGGTAGTTATGATTACTGTACACATTTCCTAGTTCGTTTATCTTCCCGGGTTACTGTAGTTTGAGAGAAAGAGTTAGGATGTTGTGATAGGTATCTCCCCAGCCCCAGAGATGTCCACATAAGCCCTGGAACCTATGAATATTTAGGTTATATGGCAAAGGGGAATTCAAATGGAATTAAGGTTACAAATCAGCAAATGTTAAAATGAGATTATTCTGAGTTATCATCTAGATGGGCCTCATATAATGGGTCCCTTGAAGTAGGAGAGGGAGGCAGGTTAGGAGGTCAGGATGATGAGTGTGAGGAGAGCCCAGCTAACCACTGCTGGCTTTGAAGATGGAAAAAATGGTGTGTGAGTCAAAGAATGTAGGAGGCTTCTAAAAACTGGATGAGGCAAGGAAACTGATTCTCACTCCAGAAAGGAACACAGCCTTCAATCAAACACCTTTTTTTTTTTTTGACCCCAGTGAAATCCATTTCAGAATGTTTTACTTCTAGAATTATAATACATTCCTATTAAGCCACTAAATTTGTGGCAGTTTGTTATAGCAGCAGAGAAAACAAATGTAGGTGGTTATGCCATTTTTATAGATGAAGATGGAGGAGCCCATACTTGATAAGCCACTTCATGCTGGGTCACATAGGAATTAGCATCCTCCCAAGCCAGGATTCTGTTAGTCAGAGATATACATATCATTCCTGTTAACATCTGTTCCAGTTACCTATTGCTTCATAGCAAAACAACCCAAAGCCCAGTGGCTTGAAACATTAGTGTGTATTATATTCCATAGCTTTGTGGTGTTAACCCAAATGGCATAGGAGAAAGATTCTCTAAAGAAGAAGTTTATATGGGATAGGAAAGCATTGCAATAGGATGATGTGTGTCATAAAAGTAAATTATGTGCTTATTCAAAGAGGTTAAAGGCCAGGGGAAATTTTTAAAGGCAAAATGAGAAGGATTACATAAAATATTTTAAAACAATAATCTTTGGCTACTCGGATTAATAACAAGGTGGCTGCAGTCTAAGATTAAACAGACAGTTGTTGGGCAAATGTCCTTGTGAAAATATTTGTGTGTGTGKGKGGGGGGGAGTGGATTGCAGTGGCCTTAATTCRAGGTTGTGGTTCTGGCAGGCTTTAGTGAATAGTTCTTATTATCAGGCAAATATGCACAGGATCCCCTTTTTTGCAACCTTCTGTCTTGACTTATCTGTTTATTAGGCCTTGACAAAAGTGACTCTGTTTTGATTCTGACAACTTTCACAGTGGGCTGACTGTGCTCACATGAGAGATTCTTACTTTTGGTCTATTATGTGATTATAGTCTGATGTTGGCCAGAATTTTGGTCATTTAAAGCCCTAACTAAGCCAGGTATCCAAGATGGCTCCTCACATGCCTGGAAGTTGAAGCCAGTTCTGTTGGGAGMTCGCCATGGGCTCGTGACCTGAGCACCAACATATGGGACCTCAGTGTGCCTGAGCCTTCTTACATCACCACAGCAGCTGGACTAAGAGGAAGTATTGCAAGAGGCAGACAGCAGAAGCTGCCAGCCTGATTAGGGGTCATGCCATCACTTCTGCCATACTCTGTTGGCCAAAGCAGTTACAGAGTCTACTAAGATTCAAGGGACTGAAGAAGCAAACCTTCCCTCCTGAGGGAGAATGGCAAAGTCACATTGTAACAGAGCATGTGGGACCGGATACCAATGCAGCCATTTAGGGAAAGCAGTTTTCTAGAGTACCCTTTTTTWAAAAAAATATTTTTTAGTTATAGGTGGACACAACATCTTTATTTTTATGTGGTGCTGAGGATCAAACCCAGTGCCTCACTCACACCAGGTGAGCGCTCTACCTCTGAGCCATAACCCCMGCCCTAGAGTACCCTTTTATGGAGCACCTGAAAATACTTTGTGGCAGTCTTATGGCTGATCAGTCAACAACTAATTGCATTATTGCAAGGTGCCATGCTGGGCAGGTTGGAAGTTCAAGGATTACCAACAGCAGGCTGTGCCCTGGAACAGGGTGCCATCTAGCTTGGGTGCTAAGTGCAGACAGTGAGCTTAGGGAAGCCTCAGGAGGCAGCTGGAAGCAGAGTAGAAAAAAGGTGCTAAAGGAGTCAGGTAAAAGGACAGAGAGGCAGTCCTTCCCGTGGGTGGAAATCATACTAAACTGTGAAGCTGTACCTGGCAAAGAGGAGATCTGGTAGTCAATAGAGACAGGGAGGGAGGAAATCAATGAGGCATTTTTTTTTAACGTTTTATTTTTTAGTTACAGTTGGACATAGTACCTTTATTTTTTTTTAATTTATAATTATATGTTGCTGAGGATCAAACCCAGGGCCTCACACATGCTAGGCCAGTGCTCTACCGCTGAGCCACAACTCCAGCCCCCATTGAGGCCTTCTGGAGACTAATAACCAAGTCACCTATTTCACTCAAGGAAGACATTTGCGGGCAGTGTAGAGAGACGACCTGGTTCTAGTTCACTTCCTACTTCTCCAAGCAGGGATTTAACTCTTATTTACCTGCAGCAAATTTGTCTTAACTCAGGGTGCTATAAGAAAATACTATTAAACTGGGTGGCTTTAACAACAAACAGGGCTATTTCTCATAGCCCTGTAGGCCGGAAGTCTGTTAGGGAGCTTGTTGGGTGAAGTTCTAGTGAGTGTTCTCTTCTTAGTTTATGGACAGCTGTTTGTTGTGCCTTCATATGGCAGAAAGAGGACTAGAAAGTGCTCTGGTTGTATTTTTTTTTTTAATAGGGGCATAAATCCCATTCACCAGGACTCTATTCTTATGACCTTATCACCCTCCAAAGGCCCAACTTCCAAAAGATGTGTAGCAATTGGGATTAGGGTTTCACCATATGTATTTTGAGGGGATACTTGTAGTCCATTGCWCAAATGTTCCTGAACTCTGACAGCTTAGTGGGAGACACTTTGAGATAACAGTCTCTGCCCATCCCCCCAAACAATTGATAACACATTGGATTTCCTTTTCAAAATAGTTGTATTTTGTCATTATACTAATTGTTCATCGTATGATGAACACTGCATAGCATGTTGGGTTTTGATGGGGATCCTCCCTGCTCTCTCGACCTCTCTCTTGCAGCTCAATGTCAGTGTTTTGCAGACTGCAACCCGGAATGGCCACACATCCCTTGTCAACTTTCTTCTCAGTGAGAACATCGATCTTCACCAGAGGATGGAAGTGAGTCTATTCTAGTTTACACAGGTTTTGGTCCTGGTGCCCCAGGCTGGCGGCCAGGGAGATGTCCTTCACAGATAGATGTGTGGGAGGAGATGTTTCACAAGGCAGGGATTCTTTCTGGGAAGCCTGACTGACTTTTTTTTTTTTTGGAGGCTAAGTCTTAATCTTGAGAAATACAATCTCAGGGATGAATTTTAGAAAGTCACTGAAGTTCCAGAGCAAAATGAAATCTTTGTGTTTTAAATATTTGTATTCACTGCAATAAAACTTTCTCCWGTGTCTAGAGATGCTGTGACTCTCGTTGGAATCTCATCAGTCTGGGAAATGAAGCTGCTGTAAACATGAAGAAGAGTGATAATTTTTCCATCTTGCTGAGTGATCTTGTTTTTCTTGTGAAAGACAATCCTTTATAATGATTTAGGTTTCTGAAGTYTGAATTGGCTTTGATAGAATTAACAAAGGCCCTCTGTGCTGGAATTGGACAGGAAGGTTTCCTTTATTTTTCACTGTATTCTTGTTTCTCTTGTGAGAATATTATTTCCTCCGATCTTGCTGAGACATTATTATTTACTGCATTAACTTGAGAGTAAGGGATGTGATTTAAACCATGTCTGATGGTTTTTGGAGCATGGAGTTAGGGAAATTGGCTCTGAACTAACTGGTTTCAGGCCAAGGATGCTTCCTGTTTCTCAGGAGGAGCTGGGCGCCACAAGGCGGGTGGCCCTGGCAAGGATGCTGCCTGCTTCTTTGAGGTGAGGGATGCTTTCTCTGTGTTCAGGCTTAGAGCTTCAAGGGAGGAAGTATTCCTGAACAAAGGAGGCCTATGCAGCCTCACCCTCAGATGGCACCCACAAGCTTTCCTCAGTGCCATCTTCTCCTTTTTCCCCTCAGCCAGCCTCTGATCTGCTCAGGTAGCAGCCCTACCTGCCCCTCCTCTCCTCTCCCTCTGTGTGCTGGTGAAACTTGCCAACTCACTCCATCTCTCTTCCATCTGTTTTGCCCTGTCTCCTGAGAAGGAGTCTGCTGCATATGGAAGTCAGGAAGGTCTTGGTTCAATTCTGGTCTCTCCCACATTCTTGCTCTATGGCCTTGCCAAAGTTACTGATCCTCTCCGTGTCTAATGTATAAAGCAGAGAATATAAAATCGAGTGCTAAGATTGCTGTGAATGACATCTTTTTCTGAAAAGCTGTCAGTTAACCTACTGTTTAAGACAGTTTCCCTAGTGCTGGGGGGAAGTGTGTAGTAAGTACATTGTGAGAATGTGTTGAATGTGCCCAACTGATGCTTATCGTTATCACCTGTTACACTTGACCAACGTTGCTCTCTTCTGTCCTAATCACTGGCTCTAGCATGCATCTGTGTCCCCTCTCTCCACTCACTCTGCTCCTGTCTCTCCTACCATGCCCCTACCCCTGCACACAGTCTCCTTGGATCTTCTGCCCAAGCTCTCTTGCACCTGCACCCCTCCCTCACTCATGACCCTCACTGGATGCTCCTTCCCCACCCCTCTCCTGCCCTAATTGTTTTTGCTCCCCCTCTCCACTTCATCGACTTTCCCCTACCTCTTACTCCCTTCCAGCTTCCTTCTGTCCTTCCTCAGACCTGTTTTCTCTTGTGCCTCTGCAGCCTGTGCAGCTGGGTGGATGAGGCAGCAGGGGAGCTTGGAGGCAAAGTGTGTGATGGTGATGGGATGTTTCTGTAGTCTGAAGGGTGGTAAGAAGCCAGGGTAGGGATGGGTGAGAAGGGTCATGAGCTCAGAAGATAGACAGTTTAGCCACAAAGGAGGCGAACAGGGAGAAGGCTGCAAAAGGTTTGATGAATACATTGTGGCTGGACTCTGTGGAGGCAGGAAGGCTGAACCTGAGAACCTAGTGCATGAGTAAGTGGAGATACCGGTTCTGCAAGACATTCAAGGGATTGAGGGCTTTAGATCATATCAGTTCAGGAAATGCTGAATGTGTATACATTTCCCCTTCTGTGGCTGTTTCTATTGTCTTTTGGCTCTTTGAAGGCTCTGAGAAGTCCTGCAGTTCAGCCTGTTTAGTACTTCCTTATTCATATTTGAGGTCAGCTCTTGGTTCTTCAGGAAAGCATTTTCTGTTCTCCTGAAAGGTCAACCCTTCCCAACCATCACACATACCTTTACAGCACTTTTGACCTTTCCTTCCAAACACTTATCACAATTTAATTACATATTTGTGTGACTTTCTAAAAAAAAGAAAAAGAAAAAAAAAAAGAACATTTGTTTGCCCCAGTAGATTAGAAGATTTCTGAGAATGGACTCTGGTCACTACTAAATCCCTGGCATTCTGAAAAGAGACTGGCCCATAGTAGGTGCTCAGTATATAGTTCCAGAACAGTGGATGGGGAGAGCTGATTGCTGGTGAGCTGGCTTGCTTCACACACAGCCCTCAGAATGATAATATTTGCAGAACTCTTAACTATGTGCTCACCACTGGGTTGGGCAATTTTAGTACTCAGAGAAGATCAGGAAATGTCTGCTGAAATGAGTTGCTTTGTGATTTGAATGTTGAAACCAGAATCTTTTGAATTTGAAAATTTTTCTTATTTCTGCAGCCTAAGGAATCCCCTCTTCATTTAGCAGTTATCAACAACCATGTCACAGTGGTAAACAGCTTATTAAGTGCACAGCATGATATTGACATCTTAAATCAGGTAAGCCAAGAAAATCAGAATCCAAAGAGTTTATTATGTTTCAACACAGTTGTGCATTTATGGGAAGTTCTGATGGAGTTCAAGTTGCCTTAAAGGTTCCTGGGAGAAGCATGTGCGTCTTATTTTATCCTTTTTTTCTTCTGTAACTTCCATTACACCTTCATACTTTCTCTTTCAAAAGATGTAACTGGGGTTTAGCCAGTCCAYGATCAGATTGTTCACATTGAACAGCTGTAGCAAGCACTTGTGATAAACAGTAGCTCAGAGGTAAATTGCCAGAGGCCCTTTAAATCAAAAGCCACTCCTGCTGTGTGAAATGTGTGAAATGTTGTCCTTGGCCAAGAGCCCTTCCCCACAAGAAGGAAGCTTTGTTTCTACATTAGAGACAATAAATGTATCTTGCTTTGCCTGAAGGCAAAAAAGACCTCTTGGAATACACTGATGGCCAGGAATTCAATCAAAGGGAGCAGAATCAAATGCCTCATAAAAGCTTTCAATCTGTCACTGGTTGAAAATGAGAGTTTTAGGTAGAACAACAGAGCTAAGCCGAGCTGTCTGGCCAGGCTGCTCTCTGGGGCTGAGCTGCCATCTTCCAGTGGATGTCAGGAAAAGGAAACCCCAGCTATGYCCTGCAAGTTAGGGCATAGGGCATTTATTTATATGCAGTGGGCATGTTTGTTCTAACCCACCATGGGGTGCCCATTTCCTCCTATGCAAAACCAGAGCATGACTCAGGTCTCTGCGGTCTTCTCCACCTCCAACCTCTGAGTTAATTTTTGCTGTGAGCTAAAGGAAGACGGATCTCCATTTCTGTCTCTTTCCTCCTCCAGGAACTCTTCCTTCTTTTTATATCTTTCACGATCACAAAAGATCGAGTGAAGGGAAAACCCTCTTGTTATTAAATCTATTTACTTATTGGATTAGGTTAATGCCRTGAATCTTTTCTAATGGGTAAAATGTTTGTTAAATACCCAAAACCTGTGTTCATGTGTGATCTGTTTCCAAGAACTGGCAGGATGCAGTCTAGGGAAGGAGCATTTATAGAACTAGATTTGATCACTTCAATCTTTTTATTAGACCAGAAAAAATACACATGTGAAATCAGAAAATTTGTACACAACACACACACACACACACACACACACACACACACACACACCAGGGATTGAACCTGGGATAATTAACCATTGAAACACATCACCACCCTTTTATTTATTTCTTTTTAAAAAATTTTGGGACAGCATCTTGCTAAGTTGATTAGAGCCTTGCTAAGTTGCTGAGGCTGTCTTTGAACTCGCAATCCTCCTGCCTCAGCCTCCCAAGCTGCTGAGACTATAGGCATGTGTCACCACCCACAGTAGAAAATTCATGTTTTACATATAAAATATTTATACAAAATAACATAAATGTAGTAAAAAGGTGAATGTGTTTGTAGTCTCCACCAAAGAAAGATAACTCTTGTTAAWGTTTTGGTGCATTTAGTGTCTTCTAGACTTTAACAGCTTTAATATCCAAATGCAATTTTATTGGTATCTGATGTATTATGCTTTATCTCTGTTCCATTTTGGTGTGTACCTTTGGAAGGTTTGTGAAAAGGGTGGAGTCTTCAATGATGGAGCCCCAGTGGAGCACACTGCCATCTACAGGTGGACCTTTAGTAAATGCTTTTTCATAATCAAGTCAACCCCTCAAGCGAGTTGGCCTTGTGTTCTGGTAGAAAGAAAGTACTGGGCTTCTTGCTGTTGCCCAGCTGTGTGACCCAGGAGAAGTTACTTCCCCTCTATGTTTAAGGGGTTGGGTTCGATAATATCCAAGTTCCTTTCTGTCCTAGTATTTGAAAAATGTCTTCACATCAGCATTACTTTTGGTGAAAGGTTAAGGTGAGTGATTTTCTTATGAGAGCACRCTTTTCTTTTGAAACACCCTCATAGGAAAATGATTACCCACAAAAGAAATAAGTCTTTCACTCCTTTCACATTATTATGTGTAAAATTTAGAGAACAAATAAAAGCATCAAGAAGGCAATGAAAATAACCTCTGATCCCTTCATCTAGACATTATCATTGTTATATTTCCCTGTCTTTGTTTGGTATGTATCTTAAATTAAACTMAGCTAGGTATAGTGCTGTTGTCTCCTAAGATTCTTAACACTACATCATAAATATTTTCTATTTGTAAAAATAATCTTTTATTTGTTTACTTATATGCTTATTTATTGATTACAGTGCTGGGGATTGAACCCAGGGCCTACCATGCTAGGCAAGTATTCTACCACTGAGCTACAGCCCCAACCCTTAAAAATAATGTTTGAGTTTTTATTGTGGTAAAATACAAATAGAAKTTACTGGTTTTTGAGCTTACCATCCTGTGATGTTAATTKCATTCACATTGTTGTGCAACCATTACCACCATCYACCTCCAGAACTGTTTTCATTTCCTCAGACTGAGACTCCATACCCACTAAAGAATAACTTGTTATTTCCTTCTACCCCAATTCCTAGTGACCACGGTTTGTTTAACTTTCTGTCTGTGAAATTTGACTACTCTAGGTAACTCATTGAAATCTCTGTCTCTCTGTCTCTGTCTCTGTTTTTCTCTCTCTATGGCTTGAGATGGGATCTCATTATGTTGCCCAGGCTGGTGACAAATTCCTGTGTTCAAGTGATCCTCCTGCCTCAGCCTCCTGAGGAGCTGGGACACAGATGTGCACCAGTGTACCAGGTTCTGAAATAACCTTTTAATGGTTGTCTACTATTCCAATATATAGATGTAGTATAATTTGTCTAATGGCTCCTTGTTAAATGTATAACTTCCTTTCATTTTTTTCACTGTTAAAAATAATACTGCAGCTGGGCATGGTGGCCTGTAATCCCAGTGGCTCAGGAGGCTGAGGAAGGAAGATCTTGAATTCAAAGATGTCCTCAGCAACTTAGCAAGGCCCCTAGGCAACTCAGCAAGATCCATCTCTAAATTAAAATATGTAAAGTGTTGGGGATGTTGCTGAGTGGTTAAGCACCCCTGGGTTCAATCCCTGATACTACTACTACTACTACTACTACTACTAATAATAATAATAATAATAATAATAATTTTAAAATATAACAATACTGCAATGATTGTTCCTATTAAAAAACACATGGTTGTATCCATTTTTCCTCAAGCCTATACAGCACACCCATACATTCCCTTTGTCTTTTTACTATGCACGTCTTTACCCCTCTTTAATGTTCTTCTGTTACTTCTTTATGATCTCTCATGTCAGAGACAGCAAACCCCTCTGCATGTAGCAGCTGATCTTGGAAATGTGGAACTGGTGGAAACCCTGCTGAAGGCTGGCTGTGACTTAAAGGTTGTTGATAAGGTAATTGCACCAACTTGACTCAGGTCAGCGGAGATGGTAATGGAGGTCTCCTTGTCAGCTACCAGTAGGGGAAGCATCGGTATTCCCTTTGGTAAATGGGCACAAACTGGAGAAACCTTGCATTTTCATAGTCATGAAAACATCCCAACTTTGATTAAGATATGTCAGTAAAAATTTTTACTCTAAATAATGAAATATGTGCTTTTAAGATTCAAATTATTCATTGAATTTTTAAAAAGATCATAGATTCACATGGCCCCAAAATTTTGTGTATTATATTACATATAATATTTTCATATTATATTTATATGTTATGTAATGGTATGCTTATATATTTAACATATTATGTATAAATATTATATTATACATATTTTAAATATATTTAGTATATATTTATTTTATATTTATATTATATATTATTTTATAATATAAAAATACTGTACACAATATTTTTTTTAAAGAGAGAGAGAGAGAATATTTTTTAATATTTATTTTTCAGTTTTCGGTGGACACAACATCTGTATTTTATTTTATGTGGTGCTGAGGATCGAACCCAGCGCCCCGCGCATGCCAGGCGAGCGCGCTACCGCTTGAGTCACATCTCCAGCCCCTATACATAATATTTTAAACATATATTATGATATATAATATGATATATAATATAATAATATATGATTATTATATTATATGACATATAATCATATTTACACATATATATTGTTATATACAATATTTATAAGATTATATATAATTTTTACTGTAAGCCCTTACCATATATATATTTTTTCTAAATATAGTATATTTTCTCTCCCTATGTAAGCATATATGTACAAAAGGTTTGCAGTAAAAATTTCACACACATCCTTGTTCTTACTTGTCTGGTTCCTGTACTACCATGGCCATATGCAGCCATTTCAATAAATTTCTTCTGTTCCTTCCAGAGTTCTTTTTGAATATGTAAACAAGCATAAGTGTATTGTACCTTTATTTTATTCTTCCATCTTTTTAAGACAGTGGTAACATAGCTATATGTTCTAGTGTTAAGAATTTTAAAGTGTAGGACTTTACATATTAATTATGAAGAGTTTCTTCATTTTTTCTTTTGCAGCTGCATGGGTTCTTAAGTTGTTCCTCAGCTTTTGATAAAGCTGCAATGAACACACTTATATGTATCTAAACTTGTTTTTTTTTCTAAATTTAATAAAATTTTAATTGTGGTAAGTACACATAGCATAAAGTTTACCTTCTTAATTTGTTTTTGTTTTTGTTTTTTTGTGCTGGGGTTTAAACCCAGGACATCATGCATGTACTCTACACTCCCTGTTCAAAACTTAATTTTTCCTTCCATGTTTTCACCCATGCAGTGCATTAGCTTAGCACCTCCCTAATTCATGCTATCTACCTCAAAATCACATGCTATGTTTATACAATCTGAAGTAGCTATGTTATTTTGCTTTTCTCTGATTCTGGTTTTTTTTTATTTTTAAGATTTTTAAAAGCTGATGCATTCTAATTATGCATTATAGTGGGCTTCATTGCTATGTATTCACACATGTACATAATTTGGTCAACTGKTTTTTTTTTCAAATTATAAAAGTAACAAGCCCTCAATTTGGAAAATAGATAATGTATATGGAAAGGAAAACACAACCATCCATAATTCCATCTCTTGGGTGGAATTCCACCACTTYCCCCTATTGTGGCTAGTTAACTTTGTTAACATTTACCATTAGTGTTTACCCACGTATTCTTTTCTAATTCATTCAACTTTTTCATTCATACCTCACAAGCTCAGGGCAATTTTGTGAATAGAGAATCCATAGCATTTGGTAGAAATTCATGTTGGGGTTTCTGGTGCTATTGACTGGATATCCAAGTAATCATGGTCGATGCTACTGCTTGACTTTGTTCTCAAAACAAAAGCCCAGTGTTACTAGGCCTTGCAATTCGATTTTCCCAGATATCCCTTCCRTCCACCTTTTTCTTTTCTGGGTCTGGCCCATAGTTGGCACCCAATACATATTTAGTTGGTAAATAAAAACAATGTTTTCTACCTGTTCCCATGATTTKTACCAAAGATGAGTGTTTCTAAAGCTGCATTAAAGTCTGGATGGGACAAAGGGAGTAAAAGTTGRGTTGGATTTGATTTTCCCAGAAGCTTGTCTTGGGGCCTGAGATGTCACAAAGCTCCCAAAGGGCCTTATAGCCACCTACTCCTTTACCTGCAAAGGCAATGTGCTGGGACTTTCATTCCAGCATCTACTCTATAGGAAGATTTTTCTCATGARTCTGAAAACTCTGGCTTTCAGATGCTGCCTTCCCAAAATAGGCTAATTATGGTGATTCAGATGGCTTTATAAGCCAGAACTTAGGCAGCATGCAATTAGAGGCTTGCTAAATGCCTGCAAAATGTAGTTCTTCCTAATTTCATTACTGTCTCTTTTGATTAGAGGCTGATTACATTCATCCCTAATTTTCCACCTCACCTGGATTTTTGTGCCTGGACTAATAGCCCAGGCATTTGTGTGGGTGGGAATTGTACTTGCTGCCAATATCCAGCCATGTCAGAGAATTATTGGGATAGATTAGATCTGTAAGCTTAGAACCATAGTTTCCTAAGAGCAGAACTTCTGGAATTATCACTGACCATTAATTCTGATTATTTTCAGGATTCCTAAGTGAATTCCTCATGGGTCATTTGAAAAACAAATAAGAACTACCATCTTTTGTCAGGGAAAAAATGTATAGCTGTAGAAGTTGTGCACTGAATAAAATCTAAGAGATGCTGTTTGCAAAGCTGTTACCCTGGCTTTGAGCTATCTTCATCCTGAGAAAGGAGCACYTTTTTGTAATTTGTATATGATACCATATGGGCTCCAAGAAGAACATGCTCCACATGATGTCCAGGACAGTCMCTTTTGCTCATTCCATTTTGTTAGGGTGGTGATACCTCACCCTTTTTGTTAGAGGCAGTGTGCTATAATAGAAAAAAAAAAAATTCTAGCCATGAGTCCAGTGAACTGAATTTTAGTTGTGTTGTGTTATTGATATTGTTCTTAATAAGATGCAGCTCTTTTCTGTCTTATTACTCTGCCCTCCTCAAAACATGGCTCTCACTTCAGAGAAGGAAGTGGATGTCATATTTTGACACTTCCACTTCAAACTCCTGCCATTATGTCAGCATTCCATTCAGGAAGARATGGAGTGGAAGGACAATGACATCTCTCTTCTCTTTAAAAATATTTTCCATAGCCAGTCATGGTGGTGGTGTATGCCTATATTCCCAGTGACTCAGGAGGCTGGGGGAATCAAAATTTCAAATCCAGCCTCAGAAATTTAGTAGGTCCTGTATCAAAAATAAGAAAGGATGGGGATGTGGCTCAGTGGTAAAGTACTCCTGGGTTCAACTCCTGGTACAAAAAAAAAAAGATGTTTCTCATAAATTGCTTATGCCCTTCCATTTACATTCCATTGGCCAGAATGTGGGTCACTTACCTAACTGCAAGGGAGGTTAAGGGTGGCACATGGTCTAAGTACTTTATATGCATTATACATTATCCTCACCACTACACCTTGGTGTAATTATGGAGCCCCAAGAAGCCAAGGACAGCTAAAGTTCACCCAACTAGGAAGTGGTAGGATCAGATCTGAACCCAGGTCCCTTGTTCCAAAGCTAGAGCTCCTAATTACCAGGTGATAGCACCTGACCCTTGCTTTTCTCTTTTAACTTTCAGCAAGGAAAGACTGCGCTGGCTGTGGCATCTCGGAGCAACCACAGCCTTGTTGTGGACATGCTTATTAAAGCAGAGAGATACTATGTCTGGAGAGAGGTAAGGCAACGTCAGCAGAGCAGGAGGGTCTTCCAGCAACCCCTGTCTTATTGGGCAGTGTTTCTGCTCTCATAGACAGAAGCCCTTGCCACTATAATTATAATTTTCCCTTCTGTCCTGTGCTGCCCTCATTCACAGAATGAACAGCTGCCTACTCCCTCTCCTTTTCCTTTGCCAGCATCAGCAGTAGAGGGAGTTCAGTGAGCTGGGCCGCCYCATTATTGCTGGCTCTAATGGGTACAGTGGACAAGTCCCTAATGGGTGACTCCCTGGCTGTGCCTCTGTCCTCTGGTCTCTGGCCATATTCTGTTACAGGAGACTCTAATGGCTGGTTAAAAGGTTCCTATTTATGGCTCTGTAATTTTCAATGCACCCTCTACTGGCTCTCCGCCACTCAAGTATTCTGTGACAGTCACAGAACCTTATTCATCTGAGAACATAAAAAAACTTGTCTCTAACTCACCTTTTTCCTTTCTTTCATTTTTATTTGCTCTGATGTCTGTCACTTGTGCAGCTTCTCCATAGACTGTCCTCTTCTCCAAGATTCAAATCTATACCTTCAGGCGGGATTTCATTATCAGATACCAGCCTCAATTTCTAGTGATACATTGTTTCCAGCTGAGGCTGCATGGCTACCACACTCCAATGTTACCACAGAATTCGGGTTCTCATCATGTAGATGTCTCCCCTGGAGGAGCCACACACCTGGATTGCTGYCCATTCGGCCCATCCTGGGAAAAATGCCTTAAATCCTTAAAGGGAAAAATATTTATTGTCTACTCTCTCACAGTCCTGTTTAATCAGCTCAGTAGTTGGGATATGCCATTATGTATTGCAAGGATTAGGACACTTCCTGAGAAGTGTGTCATTAGCAATTTGATCATTGTGTGAACCTCTTAGAGTGTACTTACACAAACCTAGATGGTTTACCCCACCACACCTGTATGCTATGGTGTAGCTATTATCAGTGTATATGTCATTGTATATATATATATCATGCAGTACTTGACTGTGTCTGGATCCCTTTAAAGGCCATGGTCCTTGCAACTTTTTTCGCCTATATGTTTTGCCTGTTGTGTCAGTCAGCTTTTTGTTGTTGCAACCAGAATGCCTGACAAGAACAACTTAAAGGAGGAAAGGTTTATTTTGGCTCATGGTTTCAAAGGATTTAGTCCATGGTCGGCTATTCCAAGGTAGAAACATGGTGGAAAGACATGGCGAGGAAAAGTGCTCAGTTCATGGTAGTTGGTAAGCTGAGAGGTGGGGGGTGGGGAGGGGGAGAAAGAGAGAAAGACAGGGGCAAAGGAGAGAGTTGAGGATAAAATAAACCTAGGGCATGCCCCCAGTGACCTGATTTCTCCAACTAGGTCCTACCTCCCAGTAGCCATCTAGCTATCAATGGATTAATCCRTCAAATGGATTATTCCACTGATTAGGTCTAAGCCCTCATGATCCAATCATTGCCTAAAAGCCTCACCTCTGAACTTTGGGGTATTGGGGACCATGTTTTCAACACATTAGCTTTTAGGGGACATTACAAATCCAAACCGTAATACCTGTAAAGTGACTAAAAAAAATGTTTTAACAAATAGAACTCCCTGTTTAWTATCCTATTTCTATTGTTGTTCTCCTTCCTCTTCTATTTCTATTGTTTTTCCTCCTCCTCCTCCTTGCCCTTTTTCCTTTTAAGCTCATTTTCTCAAATTTCCTATTTTATTGAGGACAACTTCACAAATTTCCACCTTTTACCTTGCTCTTTAAATCATTGCTTCCAGAGACTGGGGTTGTAGSTCAGTGGCAGAGCACCTGCCTCATGTGGGCGAGGCATTGGATTTCATCCTCAGCATCAYATAAAAATAAATAAATAAGTAAGTAAAATAAAGGTATTATGTCGTCTATAACTTAAAAAAAWWTTTTAAAGCATTATAAATCATTGCTTCCAGGGCCAGGGATATAGCTCAGACATAGACTGCTTACCTAGCATGTAGGTTGGATACCCAGAACTGGCAGGGTGGAAGAAAAGACTACCTCCGCTGCTGCTGTCACTATTTAGTTGCAGCAGCTTCGATCTTGGGTCATGGGTTGGGAACTGGAAGCCCAACATAAAGAGGAGACATCAGTAACCTGAAGGGACACTACAAGATTATAGGGTAGAAATTGTAACATCTTGGATCCGCACTGCTAGAGGGGGAGACACACAGGAAGCATGAAAAGACAAGGGAAGAAAGTTCCCCAAACAAACCAAGATGATTCAACAATAGAATCCACAGCACAGTAGAAGAAATGTACGTCATTAAAATGATCTGTGAATTAAAGAATGACATAAGAGAACAAATAAAGGCAACAATTGATCAGGCCAATAAAGAGATAAGAGAACAAATACAGGCTCCAAAAGATTACTTCAAGAAAGAGATAGAGATTCTAAAAAACCAAACAAACAGAAATTCTTGAAATGAAGAAAATAGTAAACCAAATTAAAAATTCAATAGAAAGCATTACCAACAGACTAGACCACATGGAAAACAGAACCTCAGACAGTGAAGACAAAAATACATAATCTTGAAAATAAAGTTGACCCCACAATGAAGATGGTAAGAAACCAAGAACAGAACCTCCAAGAATTGTGGGATAGCACAAAAAGACCAAATTTAAGATTTATTAGGATCGAGGAAGCTGCAGAAATTCAAACCAAAGAATAGACCCTAAAAAAGGTCTTGCCCTTTTCCTTAGCTACATTTTGTCAGAGTTGGTAGAATTTCCTGGAGGAAATTTTTGATTCCCTGAAGGGTGCATGACGAGGGCTGAGAAGCAAGCTCCACCAATTTTTTTTTTCTTGTAGGTGTTGAAAATTTGGGTCCCATAACCTTTTTGTACATTTTCTGCTCCAGCATTAACTTCCATCTTGTTCTTCAGATATCTTGAA